CTTATGTCAAGAAAGCCATTCCTGGTTCTCTTTCTTCGGGGACCCCGTAACCTATCTGCTTACAGCACTACAAAGGTCCTGTCCCCTGCCCCCTGCCCCCCAGCCCATCTCCAGGTTATGTTTTTGGAGGGTGATAGGAAGGGCCTCCTTGATAAGGAGTGACACCTGCGAAATGGGTTCCATGTTTCTATCCCCAGGGCTGCCCTAGGACAGACCCTCCTTACATCTCACTTGGGTTATTGCAGCCGGCAGTTATTAAATATTTCTCTCTCTCATTGATCCGGAAGAGGATGAGGAACCTAGGAGCCTATCAGCATCTTATTCTTTTATCTCATCTAGGTCGATGAAAATGTCATCCCCTCAATGAGACCTGTTTCCCCAGCCAACATTCATTGCTGTCCCCTCTGGGCTTCTATCATAAGTTAAAATTCTTTGCAACATTTGTCCCCCTAGATTTCCAGTGTCCTGGTCATCCAGTGAGGCCCTCGTCACATCTGCCTTTTCTCACATTCTCTTTGTTTCCCCACTAGATGGCCAATCCCCTGGCGACACCCCTGACAGCAGGCAGAACTCTTCACTCACAGGAGGAGCCCCCTAGATGCTTGAATGGAATCGAGTTGGGGGTCATAAGGATTTCCGGGGCATAGGCACGGCCAACCGGGAATCGGAATGGCTTGGAAGGGAAAGGCCAGGATCTGGGAACTCACACTCCACACATGGCCCAGCCTTGCTGGGAGTTGCCTTGAATGGAGGTCTTTCCCATACCTGGTTGGCCCAAAGCAATGGTTCTTTGCCTTGACTGCTGCTGGAGCCCCAACCTAGACAAATTCAATTAGAATCTGTAGAGAGGGGCTCAGGGAGTTTTCGAGGCACCCAGGCCATTTCAATGGGCAGCCCATTGAGGACCACTGACGGAAGGATATGAGAGCTTGAGGGGGCCTCCTTTCTTAGGGAGTTTCCCAGAGGTCCCTGCAGAGTCCTGCCAAATGGGGTGGCAGACAGAGGGAGGAGGTGGGGGAGGAGGTGGACAGCACCAACATGGGAAACACGAGGTAGCTTATCTCCTTTCCCACCTCTGGGTCCTGGGGCTTTATGTCAAGGCACGAGACAAGGTGGGGCAGGCCACGGAGTGCTGGGAGCAGCAGAGAGGAGTGAAGAAAATCCATTTTCAGGATGGTCAGTCTAGCTATGGTCCCAGGCAGCAAAGTCCCCCAGTCAGACCAGCCGACAAACCCAGCCCAGGGCCACCAGGCGGTGTGTAGCCGCACACGCACTAGCTCTGGGCACACTTGGTCCCCCCATCAGAGAGTTCTCTCGGAAGGGCTTCCCTCTGGCAGGGCATCCGTTTTTCTTCTGTTGCCAATAAAAATCCCCGGCGCTGTTTTTTCTCCTTCGCTTCCTTCTATTGCTTCTGACAGAGTTTGCCAGTTAGCTGAGGTCAGGATTTCCTTTTTACAAACAACCTGCTTTCAGTCAGTGGAGCCAAAGGTTTCCTAAATTACAGACCCTTTCATTTCTTCTGCCACAAGTTCGCCTGTCAGTTTGGATAATTGCACAGAACGGAGAGAAATGGAAACGTTTCTGAGAGACACTGAAAGAAAGAAGTGCTATTGCTAACTGTCTCCTTTTGGATTGTCAGAAAACCATCCTGAGTGGGATGGACAGGGCGACGTGGGTCAGCTGAAGCTTCTGTAGCTGCAGAAAGAGAGTGTCGGGGATCCCAGGGTCTGGAAGGAAATTTCTTACAGGTCTTAAATGAACACAGGCTGTCCACGGCAGCATCTCCGCATTGTGTTAAGCAAATGGCTTCCTTTATAGTCACTTGAATTGGGGAACACCCAAGCCCTATTCAAATGTTTTGAAAAGCAACTTTTAAAAGTTATTACAGAATGCATGTGCATTGGACACGTGTAAATGCTGACTGGAAGACAAATTTTAAACCAGTCTCTGGAAGGATGACATAGAATTGAGGTGCTGAGGTTTACAACCCAAAGCATTCAGACATCATTGGACAATTGTACTAACGGTGGACAGGATGCCAAATACACCTTGAAAGTGGAAAGCCCTGGTGTGGAGCCAGGGAGCACGGGGCAAAGCCAACTTCTGTTGACCTGAGAGCCCATGATCTTTTCATGATTCTGTGTTGTATCCAAGCGTCGCCTGGGGTTATGACTGCCTGATTTGGCTGTGACCTCTTGGACGGAGCATTTAACCTGAGTTTTGTAATCGGTATAATAAAAGGGGCTCCGCTAGACACTACTTAGGGCTAACATCTAAGTCTAGTTTAATGTGGAATCGTGGCCCCAGTGAAGGGACCCAGGCTGTTTGTGCTATAATGCAGGAGGCTGAATGCAACCTGTTTCTATCCTCTTATCTTTCTCCTGTGAAAGAGGAATAGCCATGCTCGTGGGTAATAAAAGCACTAAGCCTGAAGTTTTACTTGGAAGTGAAGGACAGTTCACGCCCTCACCCCTCCCTCTCCTGGCCACTCTGACCCACACTCCCTGCGCTCCTATAGTCCTGTGGCCTTTCTTCCCTTCTCATCTTCCCTCTCGGCCTCTCTCCTGTGCTCCCCTTCTCCCCACTCTGCTCAGGCCAACTCTAGCCGGCAGCGCTCAGCTTCGGGGCGGCGTTTCCCGCCTGCCCAGGCTGCCCTGCTCTCCCCACCTCTCACGCCAGCAGGACCACTCACGGAAGCCTCCTTTATCATTGTGATTCTTTTTTAATAGCCACCATCCCAGTGCTTGAGGTCAGAAACTAGATGGCCTTTTTCATCCCGTTTCCTAGACTAGGTCAGAAAAATGCAGTCCCCTTGTAAATGGCCTGTGCCGTCAAAGAGCTGGTTCTTAAGTTGGGGAGAAAAAAAAAGTCTGAATACTTAGCCAGTATAGTAATGGGCAGCATTAAAAAATATGCCAAGCAGTGTCCCAAACACTTTACACATATTAACCTACTTGGTCCTCATAATAACGGTCTGAAGTAGGTATTATTGTTATTCCCATTTTACAGATGAGGAAACTAAGGCACAGGGAAGTTAAACAACTTGGCTAACTAAAATGGGAAGCTGGGATTCGAACCCAGGCAGTCTGCCTGCTGAGGCCAGGCTCTTAACCACTAGGTGTACTATCTCACAGTGCGGAGGAGACCCCTCGCTCGGGGGTGTCCAGACTCCTCTTGTGTCTCACTGCTCCCCCCATTCAACCCATTAGCCAAGTGCTGTCCTTGCTGTCACTAAAAATAAATCCAGGTGTCCTTTTCCCCACCCTAATCTGAATCTGGCTGTTGTTCTCCTGGACTGTCCTACTGGCCTGATGACTCGTTGCCCCACTTCTTCTCTCACCCTTCTTTAGCCCATCCTCCACCCAGCAGCCAGAATGGTCATTCCAAAGTGTGTGTCAGATTGGGTCACAACCCTGTGTAGACCCCTCAGCGGCCATTTAGAATAGCGTCCAAATCCTTCACCAGGACTTTCCCCGTCTCCATTCCTTTCCCAGATCATCTCTTCTTGGACCCATGAGTGTGATTTTCACTCCTAAAAGACAGTAAATAGAAGTCTTCTCCTCTGAGGACCTTTGTCTATATCTTCTGCCCCTCATCTTCACGTGCTGCCTGCTTCTTAGCAATTGGTCTCAGTTCACATGTCTCAGTCCATCCTTTCCAGGGAAGCCCTGTCACCTACCCATATTCCCCGTTTTAATTTTCCACAAAGAATGTTTCCAACTGAATGTATCTTATTCACTAATTCATTCAGTAATTCATTTGTCTGTTCCCACCTACTCTGATGCAAACTCCATCCTCGTGAGCAGAGACCTCTTATCCTCAGCATCTCGGACAGTGGTGGGGGCCTGGCGAGCCTTTATTTAAGGGAGTAGTCTGGACGGCCAGTAAGACTATGGACATTGGGTAAGAGAAGTTCAAGAGAGGGTGCTAACACTGTGCGCCATGGTGGGAAAGAAGGTTCTACAGAGGTGAAGGCTCTGGAGCTGGACACGGTTTGGGTGGATTAAAGATGGAGGAAGTCATTGATGGCAATGGGAGAGCTCTGAGCAGAGATTTGGCGGGGATGCTTACGGGCTGTTTGGCCCATTAAAGAGCCCAGTCTATATATACTGAAGGTTTGTTCCTAAGAATAGCGAGAGACAACATTGGGAAGAAAGTAGAGGCTGTACTTGGAAACTCTAGAATGGCAGGTAGAGAAATTTGGGCTCTAATCTATGGTTGAAGGGGAGCCCTTTAAGCATTTTGGCCAGAGTGGGGGGGGGTCACGTTAGAAGTGGCGCTTTAGAAAAATCCATCTTTTGAGGGTATGCTCTCCATTTTGCCTGTTTTCCATACTTTCTTCACCTGAGACCTAAAAGTCCCTCTGCTCCCCACCCCTGCCTCTCTTTACAGACATTCCCCAAACTTTTCATTCTCGGGTGTCTGAACATGCGCACACACTTCCTTAGTGCGTGCATGTGAAAAACGAACATCCTGGGCCTGATAAATTAGTCCGACCACTGCATGTTTGATGGTCACGTGTTTGTATGTATGAATGTTGTGTTTCTAAGCTTAAATCCCAGGAGGAAGCAAGTTGTGCTGTTTTATAGCTCTTTGTCAGTGATTAATCTGGCCAAATCTTAGCGGTGTATGTTGTGGGCGTTCTTTATAGATGAAGCTCATTTCTGTTGCTGTCCCTTGGGTATTTAAGTGGCTAAATCTATGCTCTGGCATCCAAGACACTTGATGCTGAATTCTGTTCTATACCAGATAAGTCTGAGCGGAGGTCTAGTTTATATGGTTTCGGAGGAAGTAAAGAGCTTTTCCATTCATCTGTTCTTACAGTGATCAAAGAAACAGCTGTAATTTTTCTAGCTTAGCCCTCTCAAGGACTGATAAAGCCATTCCTACAGTTGCTCTGTACAACTTCCTTTTGTTGGACTATGAGCTTTCTAATGCAACCAAGATCCTACTATTTCTTAGAACGAAGAGATGAAGAAAATACCGACAAGTCAAGGAGCTTACAGTACTTCACAAATCAGTTTTATTAATTTAAACACAAATTGAATGAAGAAAAATTCTGTACACAGTTGTGGACACAACACAACACACCTTTATACAGTAAGGGTAAGATAAACTTTGTCTTCTCAGTCTGCAGAGTACAAAAATGTAAAATGGAAAGGCTGAAAAATTGTCGACTTCTGTTTGCTTCAAGCAAAAGAGGAAAAACAAACTGAATTCAATGATTAAACGGTTTTGAGAAATTCACAACTGACTAATTCTAGCAGCAACATGAAACTTCAGAAAAGGATAGAGCAGCTCTTTAGCTACTTTGGGTCAAAGCTGGTGTTATTTTTCCCCCCAATATACTATTAAAGAAAATTCATCCAAAAAGTAATTTCATGACAATGGAAGGCTTTAGATGAGAGAAACTAGTGTCTAGATAAACCGATGGATCACTTTTGGAGAAACTTTATTAGGGTATTACAAAGGTGACAAATTTTATTTCCCAGGTTTATGCTTGTCATATAATACAGAATGGGGGTGAAGAGTAGCATAATTTTCTTGGTGATGATGACCGGGCTGTGTCCCCTGCTGGCAATGAACTTTCCTGGGAGGCTGGGGTGGGAGGTGAGTGTGGAGGAAAACGGAAGGAACATGAATGTAGGAAGTAATACGAAGTTTTGCTGATTTCCAGATATGTGGTAATGTCCTTCCTTAAACGACTAAGTATCATCTGAGCACAGGAAAACTTTGCTAGTGTCCAATTCATGAACCATTTCATTAATAAAATATATCCATCATCTACATTCTTTCTGTGGGACGGAGCGTTTGAATAATCTTTTTCCAAGTAGTTACATATACTACATTAGTGTTGAAAATGAAAAAGTGAGGTTTTAAGAGGGCTTTTTTTCCCCAAAATTATTTAAGACAGACACTGCTGTGTTCTTTTACCAAGGCCCTCCTAACAAACAGCATAAAAAAAGAACTGATGGGAAAAAAAATTGGAAAACAAAATCTTATTGACACTTGACATCCATGCTTTTGGTCTTGACAACATGATCTTAAAAAAAAAAAATCCATTATCTACATATTTATACCCAGTACTTCGAGAAGGCACTGCACGTCTGTGCATATCCTGCCTCATACTTCACTATCAAGGCATTGCTACCTTTCAATATCATTTTCCTAAACAATATGTAAAAGAATCATCCATTATTACAAATTTACACCCAAAATTCTTTCTGTACATGATTGTCTCAGTGATGTACATATTATACGTTTAAATTAGACATATTTTAAACTACTTTGCAATGTGCTAAAATTCAAAGTACTTGCTGTGTCATGAGGCCAAAGCCTTCAGTCGCTTCTCTCATCATGCTACTGTCTCTTCAGTTATTTGATGTCAAAAAAGTCTGTTCACATGAATTGTATGGTTCCTGAATTATACCTCGATAAAGCTGGTTTTTTTTTTTTTTTTAAGAAGTCTGTTCATAAATAAGTAGAGATGTACAGATGACCCTGGGTATGAGACACCAAAAAAGTAAAACTTTACAAGAAAATCCCCCCACTGGTAATCAGGAAACCCATTTCAGTCTTTGTTGTGCAATCAAGTTTGCTGTATTGGAGAAGCTGTTTAGGTCACACTGAAGATGCTAAAAACGTAAAGCGTCTGCGGTCCTTTCTTCACAGGTTCGAACCATGTAGTTAATGTGGCCAAGACACGTTACACTGTGCTAGAACATTCTCATGGCTTATTTGCATTGGATTCACAGTACTAGAGTCAACAGCTGTTCTGAAGAAAGGGATGTGGTCCTTCATTTACCACAAGGGCAGAGGCGAGGACCCACAGCAGCTGGGCATCAAAATGTTGAAATCTCTAGTTTGGAGTCCGGCGCCGACTCGGGACTCAGCCTGCTGGATGTGTCCCTGGTCACAGGGCGGTTGTGTGGTTTCAAAGTGCTAGGGGGCTGTTACAGGTACTCCAGTTCCAAGGCATGATGTAGGGCCATGAGGTCCGAGTGACTGGAGACCCTCCAGAAGGGCATGGCGTGCTGCAAAGGGGCAGACAACGTGGTAAAGACAGAGAACACTCCCAGCACAGGCCCTAAAAGGCTGCGTTGGCAATCCACCATGCTGCCCACACCCCCTTATTCAGTACCGTGAAAACTGCCAGTTAAGATCTCAACATCACATCTGTTTAAAACACAAATTCAAACTTAATCCTCCCCTAAGAATACTGGACTGCATTTTAAAATGTAATTCAGGAGTCTGTTTCTTTTAAGAAGGTGATGGGTATTTCTTAAGCAGACCTACACTGCGACTTGAATGCCGATTTCAAGCTTCAAATAAAATCCAGTAGCTATGAACAAAACCTTGTCAAACATTTGCCTTTCAAAATCTGGATCCAGTGCATTTTTCATGCTGCAAGTTTAAGTGGTTTTCCTTAGTTGGTAGTATTTTATATTTTGCAAAACTTAATTTTACTCCTGTAAGAAGCAACATTTTTTTTCATTTTTTGCATTGACCCTGAAACTGGTTTACCATATGGGAAATTTTAAATGAACATCTAAGATAGTTTTTTGGTTTTTTTGGTGGTAGTTTAAAACATCTAGAAATCTAAATGATGGGCATGTTTGTGAAACACCTGAATTAACCAGAGACAAGAAAAGCAGCACACACACACAAAAAAAGGTTACATCGTCCATGAGGGATAAAAACATGATTATAAACTTTACGGCTCAAAAAGCACTATACTAAGTATTTATGTATCAGCAAAATCTTTTTCTTGGTAAGAGAAAGATAATCATCACAGTTCAGAGAACACAATTCTATTAAGCCCACATTTTGGTTTTTTTCTACGCAAAAAATAATGTGAAGGCCTGAGTATAATTTGCAATTATAGGTCTAGGGAATTTTTAAACAATTCACACTATTAGGAGAAGATGGCATGAAAGCAAACAGAATTTAGAACAGAGGAGTTTTTTTGGGGGACTATCTGTAAGTGACAGTAGGAGCTACTATTTTTGTGCAGATCACATAGCTGTTATTCTGGGGATGCAAACTATTGTTACTTATTAATCTGCTAAAAACATATACCACAGTCCAATATCATATGTAGACCTTTCTGGATTCTATACTATTTTGGAGTATCTCTATTTTTGTTATCCTTCAATAACTGTCCAGAACCAAGTACTAGAGATTTCTTTTAAAAAATTTATGATGTTCCACTTGGCAATTTTAGATCATAAAAGTAGACTGTACTATTTTGCATTCATTCATTAGTGATTTTTCGCATTCACAGGCATGGTGTAGAAGACATCCCCGGCCCACCCTCTCACAGTCTGTGGGTGAGTAGCAGAAATGAACAACATAACTGATTCACTTTGTTCTAAAGCAGAAACTAACACACCATTGTAAAGCAATTATACTCTAATAAAGATGTTAAAAAAAAAAAAGTTACAGTAAAAATACAAAAAAAAAAAGAAATGAACAACAATCATGAATGTTCACCTAAAAGGAGTAGGCGGGGGTAATTCCCTTTGCCTGGGGAACTGGGAGAGACACTGGTAAGAGGAGGTAATAGTTGAGCTAGTTATGAAAGGCTGATCATTCAGAAGAGCACTGTAATGTCTCTGTGCGTGTGAAGGGGGCTGGGGCAGAGGACAAAGGAGAAGTTCATTGTTAGAATACTGGCTGTGTGAGAGAAAGACATGGCTGTGACATTACCGGCTGTAGGAACCAAGTGGTGCAGGACCTGGTTAGCCCTGTTAAAGAGTTTATTAATAATAATGATAGTTATGATTAACATTTACTAGTGACTAATTCTAAGAAGACTGAGTCTAGTGGAGAGAACAGGGGAGTCAAACGTGTTAACAAGTAATTAGAACTAATATTGCAAAATAACATTTTCCCTAACTAAGCACATACTGATGTGAAGCTTTTATGGATCTACAAGAGCTTCCCAGGGCAACTGGGTGCAAAGTAAACAATTTTTTTTCCTGAATCAATGTTTAGTGTGGAATATTTCTTATATGAAGACAGAGAGATATGGTGGCAAAAGAGGAAAAGAAAAGCAGGTTCTAGAATGAGGAGACCTGGGTTATACTCTCAACTCTGACTTTTGTCATGATTCAAAGTCATGTTACTAATCTCCCTGGAGCCCCAGTTTGTTTATTTGCAAAATAAGGGTTTAGGGGAAATGACTCAGGGTTGCTTCTCGGTTTAATAAAGTCTATAAACTTTTTCATTAAAATATTCTATTACTTGTACAGCTCTGTAGCTACAGCAGATTTGTAAAGTAATATACATACATATGATCCTACTGCCAAGAACCAGCAGGCAAGACATATCTGCTGAAACTATTTCATTACAATGTAAGGCAGTGTGGGACTAAGAATCAAATTGACCTTGCCAGAGAAATGAGGTAAGAAAAATAAATAAAAGCATCAGAATTGGAAAGGGAGAAGTAAAACTATTTGCAGATGACATGATTTTATATATAGAAAATCCTAAAGACTCCAAGAAAATAACTGTTAGATCTAATCAATGAATTCAGTAAAGTTGCAGGATACAAAAATCAGCATTTTTATACACTAAGAACAAATGATCTGATAATAAAGTGATTCCATTTACAATAAAGCATCAAAAACAATAAAATACTTAAAAAGTGAAGGATTTCTACACTGAAAATTATAAGACATGGATGAAAGAAATTGAAGAAGACACAAATAATAAATGGAAAGGTATCTCATGTTCATGGATTAGAAGAATTAATATTGTTAAAATGCCATCTACAGATTCAATGTGATCTCTATCGAAATTTCAATGGTGTTCTTTTACAGAAGTAGAAAAAACAATCCTAAAATGTATACAGAACTAAAAGACCCCAAGTTGCCAAAGCAATCCTGAGAAAGAACAAAGTGGGAGGCAACACACTTCCTGATTTCAAGCTATATTATAAATGTATGGTAATCAAAACAGTATGGTACGGGCATGAAAGCAAACACATGGAAAATGGAACAGAATCAAGAGCCCAGAAATAAACCCATGTATATATGCTAAACTAATATTTTACAAGGGAGCCAAGAATACTCACTGGAGAAAAGACAGTCTCTTCAATAAATGTTGCTGGGAATACTGGCTATTCACATGTTTAAGAATGCAACGATTAACTTGAAAAGGACTAAAGACTTAAATGTAAGACCAGAAACCATAAAACTCCTATATGAAAACACTGAAAAAAATGTTTGGCTCCTTGACATCAGCCTTGGCAATTATTTTTTGGATATGACACCTAAAGCAAAAGCAACAAAATAAAAAATAAACATGTGGACTATATCAAACTAAAAAGCTTTTGCACAGCAAAAGAAACATTTGACAAAATGAAAAAAACAACCTATGGAGTGAGAAAAAAATGTTTGTAAGCCATATATCTGATGAGGGGTTAATACCATACAACTCAATAGCAAAACAAAAATAATCCAATTTAAAAATTGGGCAGAGGACCTGAATAGACATTTTTGTAAAGAAGATATACAAATGGCCAACAGGTACATGAAGAGGTGCTCACCATCACTTCTCAGGGAAATGCAAATCAAAACCACAATGAGATACCAGCTCACGCCTGTTAGAATGGCCTTCATCAAAAAGTTAAGAGGTAACAAATGCTGATGAGGATGTAGGGAAAAGGGAGCCCTTACGCACTGTTGGTCAGAATGTAAATTGGTACAACCAGTATGGAAAAGTGTATGGCGGTTCCTCAAAAAATTGAAAACAGAACTACCCCATGATTAGACAGTCCCACTTCTGGGTATATACATGCCCAAAGGAAATGAAAACACTATGTTAAAGAGATATCTGCACCCTCATGTTCATGGCAGCACTATTTACAATAGCCAAGACATGGAAGCAACCAAGGTGTCCACTGACAGATGAATGGATAAAGGCATTGTGATATATACATGATTGAATATTATTCAGCCATAAAAAAAGAAGGAAATCCTGCCATTTGGGACAACATGGACAGACACTGAGGGCATTATGCTAAGTGAAATAAGTCACATAAAGACAAATATTGTATGATCTCACTTATGTGTGGAAGCTAAAAAAACCGGAAGTCATGGAAAAGGAGATTAGATTTGTGGTTACCAGGGGCAAAGGGTGGGGGAGGGGAAATTGGATGAAGGTGGCCAAAAGATACACATTTCCAGTTATAAGATAAACAAGTACTGGGGCTGTAACATACAACGTGATGACTATAGTTAACACTGCTGTATGATATATGTGAAAGCTAAGAGTAGTAGATCCTAAGAGTTCTCATCACAAGAAAAAAATTTTTTTTGTAATCTATAGGAGATGATGGATGTCAACAAAACTTATTGTGGTAATTATTTCACAGTATATGTAAGTCAAGTCATTAGGCTGTACACCTTAAACTTATACAGTGCTGAATGCCAATTATATCTCAAGGAAACAAAGAATCAAAATGATAAATTCAGAGAGAACTCAGCTGTAAGCTGGAGAGGGTAAATTGGGCCTGTATTGAATTTGAGAAATGGGCAAATTTGGTTAGGAAGATGGAGAGGGATGGGACTCCCAGTCAGGAGATGGTATGTGACAAAGGTGGGAGGCACAGAGTACTTAGTGTGGAGGAGATGGGGCTGGAATGGTGTGTTCATAACAAACACTAATAAGAAAGGAGATATTTTTTCCAGGTAGAAGTATGTTACGCAATTTAATGAGGCACTAAAGGAAGGATGGATTGGAGGTGTGGCTGGCTGGTAGCAGAAAAACGAGGCAAAGGAACAGTGGAAATGGAGTGGGTGCAACGGATGGGAGACACACTGTAAAGACAGAGTTCTTGCTAATGGGGGATGGGTTGGGGGTAGAGAACACCAAAGCAAATCTGAGTGGGCGAACTGGTTTGGGACAGTAGAATTCATCTGCTGATATGCAGGTGGATGAAATGGGATACCTACATGGAGAGAGTCCATCAGGTAACTAGAGCCAGGGGACTAAAACACAGCTAAACCACAAATCTTAACAACAGTGA